TGTTGGCTTGATTAATTAATATATGGGCTTTTCATAAGTATATGAATCGGTTTTCGGTTCTGTTCAGATAACCGAACACTTTTATCCAAACTGAACTAAAAACTGAAATTTTAAGAAAATAGAAATTGAAAACCGAATCAAATATTTCGTCTTATTTTTGGTCCAAACCGAATTTTTATTTTGGTCGGTTAACCAAATTTTGTGCACCCTTAACATACACCTGGTTATTCAATATGTAGTTAGTCAGTGACGGAGCTGTATGCGGCCGGGCCCCCCAGATTTTTTGTTAATATCAAATATATATATATATAAAGATTTTTATTTTTGTAAATCAATATACATATATAAAGAAAAAAACTATAAATAAGTATAAAAAAAAGTAAAAATACTTACAATATATTAATAATTAAGACTTATGTATATGTTATTTTAATTTAAATTAATAATATTATTTATTTATTAAAAATATGCTAACAATCTTTATATTTTGCATTTCTAGATAAGTTTTTTAAGATATTTATAATGATTTCTCTTTCGATCTCTTGATTGTAAATCAACTTTGTAGTTTATGAAGCTAGTATGTAGTTGGATTTTTACATTTTTAAATGTTGTATTTCTACTTTTTTTTGTGTAATCACATTTTTAAATTTATTTATTTTATGCTTCGAAAATATTTGTTTGATAAGCTCTCATCAACAAAAATGTTACGCAATTTGCTGCAAAGTTTCAATTTTAACCAAATTTTCATCCAAAAAACTTATTTTTACATAAACTATATATTTTGAACTTAAATAATAAATACCTGAATTTTTTTATGTTTGTTTATTTTTAACCAAAAACTTATTTTTTCATAAACTATATATTTTGAACTTAAATAATAAATACCTGATTTTTTTTTTGTTTATTTTTCTTTTTAAGTTTGAGGATGATATGGATTTTAAGTTCTTAAAAACTTAACTGCACATATATTAATATTTATATAATTTGTACATAGTACATTTTATAAGAAATGAGCGTTTCAACTTAAACTACAAAGTCGTTATAACGTTTATGCTCGACTGTAAACCATAAATGCTCTCAGGTTGTAAAAAAAAAAAAAAATATTATAAATACTAGATTACAATTCTTTTTTATGCTCGACGAAAATTCAATTTATGCTTAGTTTATACTTGTAACTATGCATATAACTTATAAGCAGATATATACAATTTAAGTCTCCGTAACATGCTGATACAAGTAGATATATACAATTAACATCTTCGTCATACACAATGAGAAAATCGACCAGATCGACAATTGTAACAAAAAGTGTTCAAAGTCTAACGTCGAGCATCATTATCTTGTGCAAGACGGGTATCAGAATAATTTCATTTTATGTTGCATTTACAACAGATATATTTTCAGTATATGTTGTGTTTGTGTTTACACAAATTTTATTAGTTCAAACGCCCTATTTCGCATGCACCTCATGACAACAATCGGACAACATCAGTGGAGAGACTGATGTTTTGTTTAATCTCTTTATCCAACATCAATACCATCAAAAGTCTGCTAATATATATACCAAACATGAACTATAATTAAACATCATATAAACATTGAAAATGATCCGATCGAAACTATCTGCATGTCGCCGCTACTCAGAAACAGGGTTACATCGCGTTGTTGAGGCTACGCCAAATTCACCCTCACTAGTCGTTGCAACCTTTGGACGGCCCAAGTGAACCACTGTCGCTCAAAAGTCGGGACGTCATTCGTCTCATAACGCCGCCGGTGCTCAACCATCCGCCGCCCGAGCCCGATAGATCGAGTTCCTATCACCCTCGGCTGAAGCCCACCGTCCGAAAACATCCGCCACTCACGAGTCGAAAGAGACCGCCGCACGATCGTAGCCGTCCTCTTCAGCCACTGAACTTGTTGGTTGTCAAGCCATTCCATCTGTCGATGACCAGATAGAAGGTGTGGGGTGGTCAAAATTCACCACTATATCTCAGTTTCGGTCCATCTCTTCAACGCCAGGTGAGTTGCTACCGACGCTATGTGGAGGATCGACGTCGGTAACTTTTTTTGGTTGTATTTTTAGTGACGACGAAGAAAAGGGGGGTAATTAAAAAGGAAAAAAAAAAAGAAAAAGAAAAAACAGATTGCTGAAGATGGGGTGGAAATGGAAGTTGACTTCAAGTTCTGAACTTCTCTGAAACTTCCCGTAAGCTTTCTTCCAGTCTCTTCAAACTCTGAAAATTGCCCGTCGCCTTCCCCGGTAGGGCGTGTCGAGAGCTCGGCGGTGGCTCTTCTGGGCCCTGTTGCTCGCAATGAAGAGAGGAGCCGCTGGAAGGAGCTTTTTCGCCGGGAAGTAGCTGGTGCTGTCCTCCGATCTCTAGCCTCTGGTTCCGAGCTTGAGTGGCAGATGTCTGGCTCTCCTTCGGTATCTCCGCTGTGGCGGCTTCCAGCGCTCTCTTGGAGTGAGCGGCGATCCCAATTTCCCGATTTAGGGTTTGGGGTGGGGTTAGGATTCCGGCCAATTGGCCTCTCATGGTCCTGGTTCAGAGCTTGGTTGTCAGCGATTGAAGGGTGGGTGTTGATTCTTGGCCTCGTGGTCGCCGTCCGGGTGGGTGTGGAGCTTTGGAGTCGCGGTCGCCGAAGATCGTTTGGCGTGGCTTGTGTTCTGGCTGGGCGGGTCTTGTTTTGGCTGGGCTGGGCTTCTTCTGGCTGGTGTTGGGCTGGTTGGAGTTGCTTCGGGTTAGGCCGAGCTGGGCTGGGCTGGGCTGGGCCGGGTGGGCTGTTGGCATGGTGTCATTTCTTCGGGTGCGGGTGGAGTTGTCCGTCTGGATGAAGGTTAAGTGCGTCAGCTCTTGATTCAGTTAGGCGTTCTCTTGCAGTTTCTGGGTCAGGATCCTGGACCGATACTTTGCCATTGTTGTGCTCGATGTGGTTTCTGCTGTGGGAAGGGCTCCCGTTTTATTTTGCTTAGTTGTTGCTTGTGTCTGTTTAGTTAAGTGTTTTTGGTCTGGGCTTTTTGTCTGAGTCTGTTTGTGATTTTTGGTCTTGTTTTTTAGGTTTGGGCCGTTGGCCCCGGTTCTGATTCCCCTGTGGGGGGCGTTTCTATTCTCCTTTGGGGAGCGTTCGTAGTTGATGTGTTGGTGTATTTTAGTTGTGTGTTGTGTGTTTTCTATTCTAGTGTGGCTAGCGAGGCTCTAGGCGGTTCGATCCGTCCTCTCAGTTTTTAGTTCTTGGTTGTATTATTCAGCCTTGGAATGCTTTTTTTGCACAGTTGTG